ATAATGCAGGAAGCCTTACACAGAGGATAAATCAATAAAAACCTCATTCAGCACATCATCCTCACTCTTCTCCATTCCAAAAACCTCTGCATCCTTTTCTCCATCATCTCTCAAATACTCCCCTTTTCCCCCCTTCGAATGAGCCGAAACAAATATCATCTTCTGCACCTTCTCCATCCCCACACTCGTTTTCAAAGCACCGCCCCATTTCATCAAAGAACCCGCGCACTCAAAACCACTCAAACTCGCCCGAAGGAAAATCAGCCTAACCGCCACTTTCCCCAACAACTTAAACTCACTCAAATAAGTCTCCCACACGAGCCTACTGCTCTGCGGATTAACGATCCTCATTTTCCCCGTTTGCGGGTCCCTCTGCTTCAACTGCACAGCCTGCGCGTAAACTGGGTCGAGCCCTTCAGTCCTCCACTTCATAAGCTCCATCAACACAACGTGAGCCTCTTCACTCGAGACTAGTCGAGTTACGAGCCTGTCCACGTCCTTATCTTGCTCGCCAGTCAAGAATTTGAACGGCGGCAAGTATTTTCCGCTGGCGTCCTTTATTAAATAAATTGGGTCGAGCACGAATGCCGCGGCCCACGATGGGTGGTAGTTTTTTTTAAACCTCCCGTCGATTATTTTCTCCACTGGCCCTTCTGCCACGTGGAATTTACAACACCAGTCCTTGATTTTTGCTCTTAAGTCCTCCCACAATGGGAGGCATTGGCCGACTCGCGGCTTCTCGGTTTCAATCTCTTGTGCCATTTTCTTGATTATGTTAACCAGAGAGTGAACGCTTTCTAATTCGTTCCAAAAATTCGGGTTTTGCATCATTTCCTCGATTTCTGGCTCGTCTATGGATGCTATCTTGTACGCCTCGTCTGAAATCAAGAGCTGAAGGGCCCGAGCAGAGCTGAGTATATCCGACAAAAATGTGTAAACGGGCCCGAAATCGGATCTTATGGTCACCGGGACTTTCAGCGGGCCCGCGTGACCGTATTCCTGCAGCTGGTACCTGTGAAAAGTATGACGAATTATTCGGGACTTGTCGTTGATGAAAGTTGCTAGCTTGAAGCAATTTTCGGACACGTTGTTGAATAAAGGAAGCTCCTTGAAGAAATCCTCGATCAGGCTAGTGAAGCCTTGAAGCTGACAGCAGATATTGACCATCCAATAATGCTGACTCTCTAAATTCCTCAAGGCCTTGGCTTTAAACTTGTCTGAAACAATCCCAACACATTGATGCACTGCATTGCCACAAATCTCGGTTATTGTGTCCCGTAAGATTTCTTCTGCGAATGAGGACGGAACATAACAGCTAGTGAAAATCGCCTTTCGGAAGACGTTGGTTCCGTTGGGAAGATTAATGGACAGATGCACGAAAGAGTTATCATCGTTTTCGGGCTTCCAGTCGGCGGCTAGCTGAAAGAACAAGGCGTCTCGAATCTTGGCCTCGGATTTTGCTTTAGCTTCCTCGTATTTAGCGTCTAATCTCGACCCGAGTAGGTCTCTTCTTGAAAGTGTGGGTAGGCCGACGTGTTGGAGGAAAGATTTGAATTTGGGATGGTCGAGGCTCGAGAGGGAGGCGGGCCCGAAGGATTCATAGGCCCAATCGGCGAGGCAGTCAAGGGCCGAGTCGATTTGGTCTTTTTTGAGTGTGGGCCCGAGAGATGGTTTCGGGCTTTTCAGCCTCTTGACGCTGTCTTCTAGTAATGCCAGGGCACTCAGGTCATCCTTTCCGCCGGAGAGGACGAGTTGTTGCTGGTGCTGGTGGTGCTGGGAGTATGGGTCGCTGCCGCCGCCGCCGGTGGGGGAGATGGCGCTGGTGACGGAGATGGTGGATGGGTAGGCTAAATCGACGGAGAAGGGAGGATTGGGGGTGGTGCCGCAGCGTCGGACGGCGGAGCTGCTGCTATTGCGGTGGTTGTGCGGCGGCGGGGAGGAGGGAAGGGAGGCGCCGGGCGCCTGCGGCACGGCGGAGGAAATGGGAAGGGGGGCGGCGGCGAAATTGGGGCAGGTGCCGCGCTTGAGGTGCTCGGAGGCGGTCCGGGAAGGGTTTGAGGCGGAGAAAAAGGCACCGCAGAGGGAGCACCGGAGCTTGAGGGCGCGGGGAAGGCCGGTGGCGGAGTCGTGGATGAGGATGGGCTCGAGGTGGGCCCAGTACCAGGCGCCCTTGCCCCTATCCGCCTTGTTCCGCGCAGTGACCAGGCACTCGAACCGCTTGTGGATCGCCTTGACGGCCAGCTCGTCGGAGGGCTCCGCCGCCGCCGCCGCCGAGGCGTCGGCGGCGGATGTTGCCGCCATTCTGACCGGGAAATGGTACGTAACAGAGTGCTAGTGGTGCAAATCGATTATCAGCTGAGGCGCCGCCGGGCGGGAGCGGGAGAGTGATTGTGGGGAAATTCAGCCGAGTTTGGGGGTAGAGAGAGAGAGAGAACAATGGAGTCGGTGTAAGAGAGAGAGAAAGAGAGAGAGAAAGAGAGAGAGAGAGAGAGAGTGAATGAGGTATGGTGTAGTTGAGTTTGTATTTGGCTGGTTATGAACACTGGTGTTGCACTGTGCAAAGACTTTCCAACCCATTTTTCAAAATTCTGACAAATAAAATGAATCAGAAATTGGGAATGAGAATCAAATTTAAGGTGGTAAAATAGGATCTTACATGTGTATATTATAGTATTAAATTTTATGTTAATGAGGTATGATAGAATAATGCTATTTTGACACAATTTTATTATGAATGGCATAAACGATGTGCAAGTAAGTATAAAAACTGGAGATTTTTAGACAGAGACCTTTACCCACCTGTTTTTAGAGAGTCAGACTGTGAGGAGAGTGTGTGAGCATTATACCAGTTACACTCATATCCCCTATCCTCCACAGACACATTCTTTGAGTTTCTGAGTTTTTTCAAACACCGCACACACAATAGACACGTGAGCTTCCTTATTCCTTGTCTGATCCTTTGGGCCACCTGAACAGAAAGGAATAACGCGAAGCATAGGAATAACCCTTTGTTGTCTTCTCATATTATTTTGCAGGTTGACCGACATCTCTCCCTCCTCACCGCTTTGGGCAAACTCACTCAGAGAGACTGGACAGGTTGCACGCCACCTCACCGTCTTTCACCACCTCCGTTGATGCCTGTCCAGCATCCACGTCCCAGAGCTGTTGTTTGGCTGAAAACCGAGTCACTTTGGGTTAAGCTAAACACTGATGGAGCTTTTGATCGACTTACTGGAGTTGCAGGAGGTGGGGCCTGATTAGGGATCATAGCGGCGCCTTTATTGCCACGTTCCATGCCCCTCTTCGGGCCTCCTCGAACTATGACGCGGAGGTTCAGGCGCTTCAGATCGGTTTGCAGATTGCCGCCTCGATCTCCTCTCATATTTGGATAGAGTTGGACGTGGCCGCTGTCATCACTCTCCTGTCATCTGGACATCATGGCACGTGGCAGATCCAGCATCCTCTCATGCGCATCAGAGCCACTCTCCAGTCGATTCGCTCCCGGATCTCGCACATCTCCCGCGAGGGGAATCGGCCAGCTGATTTCCTCGCTGGCATCGGGTCCTTCACCCCCCACAGACGCATTCTTTACCCTGACAATATTCCTATTCGCCTCTGCACCCTCATACAGATGGACCAGATGGGATACCCTTCATTCAGATTTATGTAGCCGGACCTACCTTTTGGCGATGCTGACTTTCTAGCCGAGACTTCCCTCCGGAACATGATCTGTTATTTTCACATTTCTCGATGCAGTTGTCATCCTCCCTCTGTATTTTTTATTTTCTTTGTTGTATTTTGACTGGATGTACATCTGACATTGGACTTGTAGACTTGTGATTTTTCGGCACATTTAGGGCAATTTATATACAGGTTGGGAGTTCGACCTTAACCTCCCACCCTACTGGGGTGTTGGTTTAAAAAAAAAAATACATTAAAAATAATATAAATAAAATATAATTTCATATAATAAAATTCTGTTAAAAAATTATTACAATAGACAAGGACAACAGTGTACAAATACATTTTGAAAATCATGATCTCGGACTTAGTTGTCCCTTAGCCTTGATCATGCTGAGAGTTAGCCATCCAACCATAACTCATACTTTCATTTTTTAAATATCTAAATAGCTGAAATTGTTATATTATAATTAAGTCAATAACTAATCTGTGTGAATATTGGATAATAAATATAAAATTAACAACACGGTACTCTAAACGACTAATATGTTGTCTAGATGGTAGAATAAAAAAGCTTTTTAAATAAAAATTTGGAAATTGTGAAGTGATCGGTAGAGATAAAAAGAATAATTATGAAAGTTACATATAAAATATAATATATTAATTCAATAAATCAAATCAAATTATCAGTTAGCTTATATTAACAAATATGATGCATATTAAAATATTACCTATTCTTACAAAAATTTTCTTCCACCATACTATCTGAATTTTAGAATATCACAATTAGAATATCCATGGTTTATAATATGATGGGGTGGTTTACTAGTATATTTTTTAATATTTTGATTAAGAGTTATCTTTTAGTAGAATAAGTAAAACTACTCAATATTTTCACACATATGAATTGTTTACCAAATAAAAGACTTGAAACTCCTAAGTTTTCATCTACATACGTGATATATTCTGGTTGTTCCTTCCTTTGTATCCTGAATAAAATAAAATTTATTTTCTAACACTGCCATTTTCAAAAAAAATTCAAGATTAATATTACAATAGAATTGTTGTTATAAATTAGATTTAACAATTTTGCTATATCAATGGTTTATAATGTGATAGGGTGGTTTATTATATTTTTTAAACATTTTGATTAAGAATTATTTTTTATTAGAATAAGCAAAATATATAATATTTTCACACATGAATTGTCTTACAAAATAAAAGACTTGGAAACTCCTAGGTTTCATTTACATAAAATTTATTTTCTGTACTCCCATTTTCAAAATTAATAATATTATAAAATGTTTGAGATTTTTTAACAGATGTTCGGTAGAGGGTATAATTAGTTTGCAGTTTTTGTAAAGTACTTAAGCTACATATTTAAATAATTATCATTTGTATTAAATAGTTTAAAAGAAATTGTATTAAATAATTAAAAAAGAAATGTAGGAAGCCATTATTATTATTATTATTATTATTATTATTATTATTATTATTATTATGCAATTAGCAATTTTTTAAACTAATTACGTTCCTATCAAATAATGATGACTCTAGTTTAATATTTCCAAGTTTTCAAATCTCGTCCAATATCTTCATCAATATGATCTCGATCTTCTCCAAATTAAGTGCAACATCCTTATGCACGATCTACTCTTCCTTCTTTAAATTCTCCATGCTTCCTTTAACTACAAGTAGAAGGAAACTCAGTTAAGACAATGCATGATATAGATATGGTAATTAAAGAATATATAGCCGTAATTACATCACTAATCTGTTGACTTTCTGTTATTAATTTGCCAAAAAAATTATTTAGCAACTACATTATTTGTTGAGAATCTCTTGACAATTTTATAGAGCATTTCCGTTACAAATTCGTTGATAAGCTGTTGGAATAAGAAAATTTGTTGATAATCGGTTGACATTCCGTTGGGAAACTTGATTACCAACGGATTATTCCATTGGTAAAACACATATTTCTTATAGTGATAACAAAGAAAATCATCAAAGATACCTAATTTGTCGAACACTTGTTAAACTAACTATATATTTACAACTTTGAAGGTTTAGACATGATGAATAATAATATCAATTGCAATTCTAATTTTG